GCCTCGCTCACAATGCGCATGAACCGGTCAGTCTGTCCTTGCAGACCCCAGGCCGGCCAGCACACCAACTTCAGCTCCCTCGAAATCCTGTCGCGGATCGCCTTCCAGGGGGCGTTCTTGAACAGGAACCGCGGCTCGACATCCCGGCAGGGCACGTCAATGCCAAATACCGTCTGGATGGGCCGGTGGTCTGATCCATATTCGGTCGGGTGTATCGCGCATTTGACCCTTTCCTCTGCCAGCTCTTCCGTAACCAGCACCAGGTCAATTGTGCTTTCCAGACCAGGCTTCGGTCCCTGCCACGTCTTGGTACCGCGCGGCAGGAGGCTCTGGAGGCCATGATCGTTCATAAGGTCGATGATCGGCTGGCCTTCTCCTTGTCGTCTCGTTATCGTGCCTTCACCTCCCCATAGCACATCGTGACGGTTGAAATCTCCCGCCACCACCACATCCGTTCGCTCGCCTGTACCACTGCGAAAGCGTGAGATCAGGTTACTGACCTCTCGCACCGCTGCCAGCAAGGCCGACGCGTCGTTGCATTGCACGTAGACCGAGACCACCAGGACTTGCCTGCCCTGGAGACGGAGGACGGCCGCAGTCAGATCGGGAGACGAAACCGTCACTTGCTCTGATTCCAAGTCTCGCCGCACCCAGAGCATGCTCCGGATCGGCCATCCCACCGGATTGGCGACGCTCGGCACCATCTTCGTCCAGTTGCTGTGGCTCGTTGGGGCCGTCACCACCGCGCCGTCAACCAGCCGCGCGTACGGCTCTGTCAGTGAGAGGACTGCATAGTCCCTCAAGTCCACATCATTCATCACCCCGAGCTGCACCGTGTCCCGCTTGCGCACGTTCAACTGGAAGATGCGCAGGTCCCTATGCATTCCTTGGCGGGTTGCGTACTCGGCAGTTTGGACTGGACGACTCGTGAGGTCCGTTGCACAGGACGCACTTGGGTTCTGCGGCCCGGCACTGCCCGTGACCGTGCCCAGGCTGCGCACACCTTCCGCAAGCCCTTGGCTTCTTGCACGAGAAGGCCTTGTGGCCCAGCTCCTGGCAGTTGTAACACTGCACCGGTCCGACTCGCGGCTCAAACACGTTGATGTAGGCAGACTCGCCGGCCAGGTCGAAATAGGTGCCGTCGAGCAGTCGTTTCGCATCGCTTCCCTTGGTCACGTAAATCACCATGGACCCGTACGCCTTGCCGCAGTCTCTCTTGCTGAGCCATGAAATCTTGGCAATCGTGACGTTGTTCTCCTTGCCGAGAGCTTCGGCGGCTCCCGTCAGAACATTCCCGTCGCTGTCCAGCACCGCCGATCGATTGACGCTGTCGACTTTGACCGGGTAGAGTTGATCCCTCAGGACACGCGCCCCCGGCACCACGACCTTTTCCGCCGCCTCCTTCACCCGCCGCAATTCCGCTTCATCGCGACACACTATCCTCACCCGGTTTGTGTTCCTGGGGTCTTTGATCACTGCTGCGCACCTCCACGCCTCGTGACCTTCCCTCACCTTGACTTCTGTTTCGATCGCTCGTCGGATGGTGCCTACCTGCGCCTCGACCTGGTTTTGCTCCTCAACCCTGGACGTGTCTATCGTACAGTGCAGAGTGTCGGTGGATGTGGACGTGGTGGTGCGCATCGAAGAAAGCGACCGTGGGCTCGTAGGCTGGCTCTTTGGTGGTGTTCGCACGGCGTCTGCGTAGGACGCCCGCGGGCCGCTTTGCACTTGGCTGTTTACCGTTGGGTTCACAGACGCCTGGAGGGTCTGCAGCTGTTGCCGGACCTTCTGCAGCTCTTCCTTGGTGTCGACTACCTCTTGTTCCAATTTGTGGATCAATCGCTGTTGGTTAATTGACCCATTCTCGAGATCGTTCAGTTTTTCCAGGACCTTGCATAGCAAT